GGCAGCGTCGGCCTTGGTTATCTCTTACGCTGATATAGATCCTATAGATGTAAAAGTCAATGTTCTGACTCACTAGTTCTGCAGAGGAAGCTTTGGGGGAAAAAAAGAGAAAAATATTTAGATTATGGTATTTACTACAAATACTGTACAAATCTATAATGTTTGTGAGTAATGTTCATAGAACAGAAAGAAGACTAAGTATTCCCATTCTAAGATCTTCAGTTACTTATGCGTCTACAGTACTTATTCAAAGCTGAAACTTATGATATTCATCTATGCTAGTTTTTTCTTTTGGAAAACCTGAGCCAGATCAGTCTAGTCATCACTTTTTAACCTGAGAAATATAAAAGGGGTAAATGCACTTTTTTATATCTACTGCTGCTTTTCCTGATTTTTATTTGCACAATTGTGAACATAAAAATTGCAATTTTATAAGGTGTTTGTTTCTCTCACAAGGAATTTACATGTGTTTTGCAAATGTTTTTTTCAGTAATTTTAAAATATTTAAAGTTGCACATTTTCATCTGTTTAGGACAAATAGGAGACACAAGAGTAGTTATAATTGTGATATTTACCATTTAATATAGTCTTCTATGCATATAGTAAGTTATGCAAATTCTGTCATTTAGTAATGTATGAGATTTGATTAATTCATTAGTTTGTCATGTCTTATTGGAGGAAACTGGAAAAGCTCCACTGGGCACTGACTAAAATGTTTTTCTTAGAAATACGAGTAAGTACAATTTGTACAATAAATTGCAAAAGCTGTAATCTTTATTTGCCATTTTCATATGTCTCTCATAAAAGTAAAACTCTGCCAACTAATAACTTTATGCTCTAATAAATAAATTTGAGAGTTTTGTCATATGCTTAGAATTTTTTAGATAATATAGAAATAAAAAGGTATCAAATTACTCCTTTTGAATTACCTCATCAGGTTTAGACCAATAGAGGTGCTTATCATAGCTATACCCAAGTAAAGTACAGTTTTGCTGCTCTGTTTTTATCAGTATATTTTTAGTTTCCTTTAAAAGATGGTCACTAGATAAAACACATGTAATGATTCTTTTTCTATTTCTAATATGATTTATATAGCTATATATATATGTGCAAATCCAGAGCAACTTCTTGGATTCATATGAGCATAAAATCACATTTAAGTGAGATTAGAATAGATTCTAATAACTGTTTTGTTATTAAAAGGTTATCCTAATCTGTTATCTTAGATAAGAGCTTATTACTGTGGTTTATTCTGTTATAAAATGTAGGTTAATTTACCATTTATTGATCTGATAATCCATGTAGTTTGAGGTTCACCATGTATGCTGAACGTAAAGGGGGGACCATATGGGTCACCATCCCTATCCTTTGCTGTGATAATCACTGATGGGGAATGCATACATACTTTCCTTAATTCAGTATTAATAGTTGGGCAGTTGTCATTGATGTCTTGTATTGAAAGCACAATGGTGCCAGTAGCAGTATATCGAGTAACCCCTGTAAAAAGAAGATATTTGTGGTCAGGAGAGAATATTGATACTATAAATAATGCAGTTCAAGTGGGAAAACTAGAAAGAGGAAAAAAAAAGAGAGAAATCTGGAACAAAGAGAGTTTTGTTTCAGAAAACTTAATCTCTTTTCTTACCTCTGGTGATAGCCAGAACCTCTGCTCTATACTGCCCATTGATTACATAGATTGATTCCCGGTCAATAACTTTGTTCAGTGTGATTTCACCAGTGTTTTGATTGATTCTGAACCAGGCAGCTGGATCACGTCCTATACTATATCTGTATTTGGTGAAGTAAAAATACTTTATGTTATGAATATATATATTACGTATTTATTTTGCAAACAATATTTGTCACTTTGGAATATTTTTCTTTAGGCTGCTGTAGGTCCTATTGCATTTCACCTTGTTCAAGCAAAATTCCTGTAGACTTCAAAAGATTTAGAGCAGAAAAATAATTAGGAATAAAGTTAATGCGTAGAAGTCCATTATATTTTGAAAGTGGTATCATAGTCTAAAAGTAAAATCTTTCTGGACCCTTTAAACCTTTACTAGAACCCTTGTTGATATCAGTAGTTAAATCCAAGCTCTTCCTATAGCATTCTACAGTTGTATTTGCTAACATATTTCTCTGTTTTATGAAAACTTTTCAAACCTTTGTAAATTACATGTATTTATTTCTACATACATTAAAAAGCAAATTATGGTTCCATTAATTATCATTAATTTCAGTAGAAATAAATGTCAAATAATTTTTTTTTTTTAATTATAGAATGAGCTGGTAGTGACCTCTTCTACTCTGATTGTATAATATTGCCTATTATTGAGGTTTTCTGCTTGCTTTTTTAGAGATGCTAACAAATTCCCTATTTGTAGCAAACATTTCAAGAAAAAATATTCTTAGGTTGGGTTAGAAAAAAAATCTGTTCTCGTTTATTTAAGTTACAGCGCGTTAGAAAAATGATATTTTCTTTGTCTTGTGCACAAGCCTAAGGAAAGTAGGTCAGGAAACAAAAGCAATCATAGCATAAAAATGGGCTAAAGAATATACTGTTCTATTGCTATTATTCTATTGCTAATCTATTAACATTTTTTAAGTTGTTTTTTAAAGCACCCTTTAAAATACCTATTCCTCACCCCATTAAAATCTCGATTAAAAGAATTATTCCGTCCAGGGAGTTAAGCAGAGCAGAGCTTACACAACATTTGATGCAATAGCTCCAGTGTCCTCATCGATGGCTGTGTATGTTCCCACAACATAATTCACTCTTGTGCTTTCTGATACAGAAAACACAACTGAAGACGGATGAAATCTTGGTGGTTCAATCACGTTTTTCACTTCTATTGTGAGGGGTGTTCCAGACATTTGGAAGTCACGCGCAACAGAGTGGTGGAAGGCAGCTACGTTCCTGACACCAATAATCAGTGAGTGAGTTTGGAGATATTCATAATTCAGTTCCTAAAAGATAAACCACAGAGAACTAGATAATAAATAAAAGTTCCTTTAACTTTATTTAAATATATTCTGTTTTAAATGGTTGAGTGGCAGTGTTTTTACTGCTCGTTTAATTTTGTTAACAGTTAATTAAAACTATTTTAAGATGATTATTTCAACAGTTGAATCACAATATTTATCCATACCTTAATTACTCTAAGGATTCCTTGATTTGTAGCTCGATCTGTAACAATTTCAAACCAGTTATCTTCATTACCGGATAGAAAGAAAAACTCTGCTAACCAATTGTCTGTAAACTCTTCATCAGCATCCAGAGCTTGTATTCGTAGCAGATCTGAACTGAGTGAATTTTCTGAAATACTTGCTGAAAACTGGAACGACAGATAAATATCTGTTAGCAAACACTAAAATATATAACGTGAGGAAAACACAGCTGACTGCAGAGATTCTTTTGAAGGACGTCCTGCCCACAGTCCATGCCGACTTAATAAAAATCATGTGTTCTGGGTAAATTGTGATTCTGGTTGCAGATCTGAAGAGCTGTATCACCTCAAGTGTTTGCAGAGGCAGCTTAGAGGAAATGGATTTGTGCTTTCTATAAGAAAAGATCGTACAAAGATTGGGTTAATCTACGTAATCTGGCCATATTGCATGGGTCTGGACACCTGAATGACTGGATTTCTCTGGATACAGAGAAGTCAGTGTCAGGATTGACTTCTCTGAGTACAAAAATAATCTACGTGTATGTTATCAGAATTGGTGTGCAAGCGACGGATTGGATTTTGAGCACGCTTCAAGGAGACAAGCCTGTTAATCCAGTGCAGCATTCAAATGTGAAAGTGCTCTGCGGGTTAGTAAGGGCTCTGTTATCAACTGGGTTTTTCAACAGGGTTTTGAAACAGTGATGTCGCTTTTGGTATTAAAAACTTACAGAGCTCTGAGCAAGAGTTGGGAAGTTGTCATTGACATCAATAACTTTAACGTTACAGCTACAAAGGGATGATATTCCATCTGCAGCTCCATCCCGGTCTGATGCCTTCACAACAAGAGTGTAGCTACTATGTTGCTGTCACAGAAAGAGAAATGAGCATGTTAGAAGGACCACCTGTATGTCTTAAATGTTATAAATACTCATGTCTTGCTACTATTTCCTAATGTAGGAATTTGCCTTAGACATTTTATTGTAACATATAGAAAAAATGCATTTCTCCCTTAATTTTTGTAAAAACCACAACCTTTCTCTTTTTTTTTTGTTTTTCCCCCCACTCTCATAACACATATACACCACAACATCACGTTATTTAACTTTGAAAAGGGAAATGTTACCTCTCTGTCAAGATAATTTGCAAGATGGAGTTCTCCAGTATATTTATTCATAATGAACATGGGTGGACCTGAAGGTTCCTGACTCTCTATCTTGAAGGCAATTTTAGAATTCAAATGATTAGGTTCATCTGCATCTGATGCAATTATTTTCATCACCAGTGTGTCTAAAAATAAATAAAAAAAATAATTAAAAAAGCAAATCAGAAAATCTGTTTTGTTCCTGCAAACAACTCATCAAGACAATGTTAAATATTGGTGTATAAAAATGATAGAATGCTATCTATTCATTGATATTTACAAAGAAAAACAAAAGTTTAATTTTGCTGTACTGATTCTGGCTGAATGTTAATGACTTTAAAATGCATTAAAAATTAAGGTCAGATGGAGTAATGCAGATTTTCACTGAACTTCTTTAAGTCACCATAGGGACTATGTAAAAAGAGTAAGTACTGAGCTTGTAGATATTCATGTAAAAAATCTCCACAGTTTTAAATGAGAATCTCTAGAAAGTAGAAAATGAGCATTAGGCACCATCGCCTCAGTGCTATTTGCATCTCTAATGTTGATTGCTGTACTTTTAGTAAAAAGAACCATTTTAGTGGTTTAAGTAAGGGTTTATTTAGTAATATTCTACTGCAACTGCAATGCACAGGCTACAAATACAAATATTTGAAATAGAAAAAATGGGAAAAAACATATTTTATATACCCTCAAAGGAAATAAGTGTAGGTGTAATGTTAATGTTTTTTAATGAGAAGGAATGAACTGTTGTATTTTAAATTTTCACATCTGAAAGAATTTGCATGATGGTATGGTTAGAAACTGGAACATTCAGCGTTCATGTGTGGGAGGAAAGGGAGAAGGAAGCACGGCTGCTTAATTCTAGGCAATGAGCTTGGGCCCTGGCTTGAATAGCACTTGGAGAAGCATCTGCCGCTCCTTCCTCTGCAGTAGCCCTGGCCAATATATGTCATTGCCTAAGAAAAAGTAGAATGAGCACCCCAGGTTTATATTAACTGTATTCTGGGAGCTTCACTAACTGTACTATAATAGGCATAACATAGTTACTTACTGTCCATACTGCTTTCTTCAATAGATCCTGTAAATACAGTTTGTGCAAATATAGGAGGGTTATCATTTATATCCAGAACTCTGACTCGAAGTTCAAGGGGTGGTTCCAAATCTATACCCGTCACTGAGTGTTTAGCAAAGCAACGTATCTAGATAAAGAGATTTACTCATTTTAAAACCAAAAGTGAGGTAAGCAAGGTAACAATCTGAAACAAATGAATTCGTCTCCTTCTGCTCTCCCTGCCCCACCCTGGATCCATCATTATAGAAGTAAAAGAAAAAGGGGAGTACTTACAACAAATACTGGGGTTACTTCCCTATCCACTATTGAAGTTATATTAATTTCTCCTGTTCTTGGGTTAACAACAAATATTCCATAGGGGGCACGATCAATTCCAACTCCAGAGATGCTGTATGTGATTGGATGCTTTTCTTCACAATCTGATCGGATCTACAAGAATAGGTAGTAATAATTTATGCCAGTTTACTGAGGACACCTGCAGGGCTTTTTTTCCTATTATTAGTTCCTGTAAAAAAATCTATATAATTTCAGTTTGTCAACCGCGTATCACAAGGTTCAATTGACAGAACCGATGGAAGACTCTTCTACAAAACAGTCAGCCTAGAGATCCACCTCCCCTTAAGTGCTGGACAGGCTTTCTATTTCTCTTAAATCTTCTGGCAGGGAAGTGGAGAGAGAAACTTTTAAGAGTATCACACTGTGGCTGGACCTCAGTAAGGGTACAGTCATGGTGAGAGGATAGGAAGACATTTTCTTTGCTCTGTTGCCCACAGAAGTCATGCACTATCCTTGAACTTCTGCTCAGGGGTTTCTCAGGGTGAGAGAGAAAAGAAAAATACCACGATCTAGCACACAGATGCTGCACACGAAGAGACTATGGTTGGAGCTGTCCAGGAAGTAGACCGATGGCAATGTTCTAGGAAGCCTTTGGTCACTCCTCAGCAGCCACACGGGTTCACCTTATGAGACTGTCTCAGCAGAGCTGGAAATATTGCATCATCTTTCTTTTATTCTACATTCCTTGCTTTGACTTCTCTAAACAAATATACTTTTAAATCTCTCTGCTTTTATCAGCCTGTCTTTAGAAAAACTTCCTTGTCAGTGAACACTTTTGTTTTTCTTTCTACTTACTTTGGCAATTGGATTCCTCTTAGAATTATCTTCTCCTTCTCTACAAGCTGCAGCAAATTTGATCCATTCACGTTTTTGTCTTCTGAAGGTTTTCCATCTTGCCATTCCATTTTCATCCCATTCTTTTACCTTTGACAGAGAGTTCCAGTATCATATGACCAGTAACTCAATCCATTTAAAATTAATACAGACATTTAGAATTGCCAACAATAAGAAAAAAAGGGAATTTTATAGATCATGTGCTTTTTTATATGTCTGCAAGTCCCAAACTTTAAGACTGTACATGTTTACTTTAAAATTATTCCTGTGTATGAGCTACTCATTTAGGTTCAGGAGAACTTCTCTTGAGAGGGTGAGCAGGTTATTTTCTGCAACTGTTTAATATTTAAATATGTTTTCAATCTTCATGTTCAGAAATGTCTTAGTTCAGTATTTTCCATTTCATTTTTGCATTGGTTACATTTCATTTGGTAGGTAAATCAGTTTCTAAAGAAATATGTATTACCTTTACATGAAATCCTGTGCTGAAATCCAAGAGTACCTGCAAGAACAATACAAAGATTGGCATATGAAAATGCAGGGCAAAATGCAGTAAGCAAAACCCAACTGCCGTGCATTGCTATACTGCAGGACTGGAGCAGTACTTTTTCTCAAGTCTATTGCAAGAGCCTATCTAGGCAGTAGCTACAGGATTTCCATAAATGACTTTATGCAATTCATTTTTTTCTATATCCATCACTTGAATTCCTCGACGTTAGCACCTTCAGAATTAATTCTGTCTTTCAAGGCAGAACTTTGAGTTTGAATGGATGTGCCATAGCAAATTTCAAGTTATACCTACATCAAAATACAGCTTTCACACAGATTTTAGGTTGCAACACCTCAGCTGAAGAGGGAAGTGGTTGCAAGAGTTGCTACTAAAAATATGTCTAAGAAACTAGAAAAAGAGTATTTATTTATTCTAAAGAATGTATTCTTTATTTTTTCTTATTTAGAAAGTCCACAGTAGACCTGGAGTACCTATGTAGTTTAACCAAAAAGAACAAAAATGTTTTCTTAAGCTTCCCGCTGAGGTTGAAGAGATTCAGTGTAAGACGGAAAGCCAACTGCAGTCATCAGGCAGATTTCCCTGGAGTGCAGTGGGCTTTGATTTGAGGTCTAATTATGCGGCCAAAGTCTTGAGTAAATAAAGGTGGCAGGATCAGATGCAATATGTAATTACTTTAAAATTAAAATTAAAATAATAGAGAATCCTCAATTTCTTGATTAGCACAATTTAAAAGAAGGCACAGTTTAATTAACCTTGTTCCTAAATAAGGTGTGAAAATGAAGCTCACTTGGTGAATGTACCTCTTCAGAGCATCTCTTTTGGGTTTAGGACCTGCCTCTGCTCTTTTCAGACAATAAAGGGTGAAGAATATGGGATTTACAGGACTGGATGCTTGCTTCATTCATCATTGGGAGAAATAAAATATCCAGGTGACTCAAAAAGTGTTGCAGGTTCTCTTTTCTCACCAATTGTGGTTAACAGCTGTAGTTATCAATTTTCCGCTTTCCTTATCATTTCCCAGTACTGTTCAACAGCTTTTTTTTTTTGTCTGACATGTTTTATCTGGTGGGTTTTATGTCAGTTGTACTTGGATAAAATCTGTGACAATCTTTTTCTCTATGGTAGCTTTACCTCATGGGACTTTCCTCACTTCAAATTTATTGCATTGTTCTGTCAAGGCTGGAAGATGGGCAGAGACTTTTTTCCACTTACTTCATGTTAAAACAACCTTTTACACGCAACAGATTAATGAACAGCAGCTTCACCCTCCTTCCTGTCTCTTCCCCCTTTTCCCCATTTACCTATATGCCGTAAGAGGTCCACCATCTGTCATTTACAAAGCAATGTCTCTAATGATCTGATCTTGCCCAGAACATTCCCTGAGACCTCGGCACGTAATGGCTGCCCTAATCTGTTTCTGAATGAGGGAATTTAGACTGTGGATTTGCCCATTTGGTGTGCATATACCTTGAAATTTGTTGGACTATTCATGGAGTAAGGATTTTTTTTTCTTGGTTCTTTGAGCAAGCTATTGACAAAAATGGTTAAGAAAAGTACTCTGCAGGAAAATCATTACACTATATTCATGTTGTGCTAAAAGCATCAATACATCTTTTAATCTGAGTTTATGTCCTGGTGACTATTTAAATCTTCAGCTGCAGAATGGGGTTCAAATTCATGTGCAGCCATTACTCATCTCAGAGAAGGGACAAGATCAGACTCCATTTAAACTGCGGGGTTTTTTTCACCCCAGTGGGAGCTCAGACCTGTCCTTTTATAATCCCCCTTGGAGCCTGGGGAAACATGGGAGAGTAGAAGTGGCAGATTACACCCTCACCAGAGAACCTGGGTGATGAAGTCCACCAGAAATAGCACGGATTCAACGTCTCTTACCAGTTGATCCCACCGGCAGAGCAGAGCCTCCTTGGGCGAGTACAGTGAAATCCTCTCCACCCTTAGGCTGAAATCCCTTCTGGCATGCAAGCAATTGTCTTGACCCAGAAAAGTACGGGTACACACCTCCCAGTGCAATGTTAGTGAATCTTGTCTACTGTCTGCATCCTGTGGCCTATTCTGTTATTTAACAGTGAAACTAATATCTCACATCCAGCCACATCACTCTCATACTCAGCAGGCCTAACTGAAAAACTGTGTTGAGCATCTCTGCAATAAGAATTATGCATGTAAAGAATTCTGTTCTTTAAGGACATGAATATTCATAAAAGACTTGATTTCAGGCTATAGGGAGTTCTGGTTTCAAGCAGTAAAGAATATACATTTTACACTGGAGTTTCATCCTTTGTTTTTGAGCACCAATAATGGGAATGTCAGGAATTTGTTCATCAGCAATGCTGGCGATTGTAAATTTAGGCCCCGTATTTCCACATTTGTTCCATGCTAACTAAGGAAAATCCCATTCTGCTACTTGTTGCTAATGGAAGATCTTGAAAGAAGTCTTGATGGTTTTGAATCCAGAGTCCTTAGTACCGTTTGTCATATTTGAAAAGGCTGATCCGACGAACTTGATGTCTGTGTTTGGTATGTCTCTCTCAGTTACTGCCATGTTACAGGAAGGAGGGCAGGCAGACACCAGACAAAGTTGTCTAGTTCACCAGCTAAACCTCAACAATTCTGGAGTGACGTCTATCCAACTTCATCCAGGGATGGAGGTTCCTCTGCCTCCCCAACTAATGTTTTCCAGTTCTCCAATACCACCAGCAGTTAGAAGGCTCCCCCACCCCAGTTGTCTATTTCTAATATCTCTCTGTGAGCCAAACCCTTTTTTTCTAGTGCTATTTCCAGCACAGAAATACTGTCTCCTAGCAGCTAACTCCAGCATACTTCTAGGTAGTGAACAAATTTCCCTTCTAAACTAGTATCCGAGTACAGTACTTTCCATAGATTCGGTGATTAACGATAATTAAAGCAATAGGAGCCACTGGAATGTGTGGGATGCATCCTGAGGACCTTGGGGTAGGCAAGCTGATCAGAATGATATCAAGATTTGCTGTCCAGTTAGTCTCTGAGAGACTGTGAAAAAATGGAAACTGCAGAGAAGCTAGGGGCTCACTGCACAAGCTGTTTCTGGTTTGAGTTGGGAGAGGCGCAGGCAGGCAACATGTTTATGGTGACTGTCATCTGCACAGTGGCCTTCTGAAAGCTTGTCTTTTATTGTAATGATACAGAGCCTGAACTTTGTGTCCAAAATGGCGCCTTAGAGTCACACTGGAGTTATTCTGGATTTATTCTGATGTAACTGGGAACAGAATTAGGCCCATAGGATGTGTATAGTTCTTTGCACCTTCAAAGCAATTTACAAACAAGAATTAACTAATCATTAATTGACTGCCAAGCAATATTATACGCAATTATGGAATCCTCCCTCCTCCACCTACTCAAACCTAAATGACTGAACACGCCTTTAACATCTTCCCAGCATTATTCATATTGGATCTGCTTCTCTCCCTTTGAAGTCAACAGCGGTATTGTTATTGGCCTGGATGGGAGGAGTGCTGAGAACTCACACATATTTTATTAGTCATCAGGGTGCCATGGTAGCTCTGGTTGTGTCAGCGTTTTGGGACTTTTACGTCTTTCTTACTCAGCCAAAGCTCTGACTAGCAAAGGGTTGAAATAACGAACCCTTCCCTTTATTCATTCTGTATCTCTTTAAAAAATGATAAATCAGTGCATATGAAATAATAAGAAGCAGAATTGAAACATAAGACAAAACCTCATATTTTAAAAAGAAGCCATTTGATCACTTTTAAATCGAAACATGAATATGTTTTTGTCTATACTTTTCATTTTTGTAGGTCACTAATGAATGTGCTTCTTCCAATTTAAAGGGGAAGTGTTTCAGGATGATTTTTCTGGCATTTTGTTTTCTAATTCTGTGGAAGTCAGGCGTTTCTGTTGCTTCCTGTGTTAGGAATATACTGACATCAATATTTTGCATTGCACCCAGGAGGGAGAATCCATTGCTATTTCAGCAGAAGTATGACAATGCTTATGTCGGTAGAAGAATATATTCCAAAGTTTATTTATTTTAAAATATGTTTATTCAAAGAACTGACCACTTTGGGAAAGCTTCCACTGAGATTGTTTCTGTTCTGCTGAGTCATACAGATATAATGAATTTCCATAAAATAACTGAGCTTAACCATTAGAAAAATGAACAGAAAAGTAATTTCAATACAGGGTGTATGCCATTATCATTCAAATTTGAGTTTTTCAAATTAGTCATGCTAAGTCTCCTCAGTAAATCTCCTCAATAAAACCTGAATTCTAATACAGCTTAGAGTGCTCTAGCTGCAAATGCATGTTTGCTTAGGGGCCATTTTTTGCTTAGGAATGTAAAACTGCAGACTTAAAAACCTAATCTTAGGTGATAATTCCTGGATTCGGAATTGCTTTAGTTTCTATTTCTACAACAAAATTCTTTGGCAGAAGAGCCTGCAGGTTCCTGGCTACATCCTTGCAGATGTTTCGTATGCATATGCAAGGAGACGATTTGGCCCCTTAATATTTTTATGTGCAACCAAGTTATGAGTAGGAGGTGTAACCATAGCCTAACAACTGGAAAAAAAAAAAAACAGCGTAGATAACATGTGGGAAAATGTAGCCAGACAAAAATGCATATAAGAGATGTGGTGAATTTAAAATTATTAGCTGTCACATGATAGCTGGCAGGAGAAGAGTCATACCTGATCAAACAGGTTATTTCCATAAAACATGTCTGTGCAGGTATCACAAACATAACTCCCTTACTCATGAGAATAACGCCTTTGAAGTCACGTGAGCAAGGGTTGCAGAATCAGTCCCATCAATGGTGAAATGCATATAGAAAATTATTAATTTCAGGGCTGGTAAGTTTTCTTTTTTTGAAAGTATAGTAGTGTACTAAAATATGTATAACTCCACAGCAATTTTATTTGATACAACTTATTAACAATATACTAACCAGACACACCATTCAGACAGGTGATTTTCATGGAAGATTAATCAAGCTGAAAACCCAGACTGTTTCTCAGAATACACTAAAATTGGATACATAATTTATAATTTATTTAAGATTTACAGTTTGTCCATCAGCTTTCTATAAAGCGCTGAAAGATGCTATTAAGCTGTACAGGCCACCATGAACACTGCTGTGCAGAAGAACGCATGAGAAGAACAACAATTGTTTCCTCTAGGCAGTAAAAGTTCAAATATTTGATAATCATCAAAACATAATGGCAGTTTTCACAATTGCTCCTTTTTCCTGACCCAACACATATCCTTCATCAGTCACAATTGTAATGATAATATACTGAAAGAATGAAAATGGCTCCAGAGTTGCCGAGAGAAGTAAAGCAGTAAAATCACTTTTGAATGGACAGATCTTAGATACAGTGCAGTCAACGTTTTTCTGAACTTCAACACATCAGTTACCTCACCAGGTAACTGACTAAAATGGATAGTCACTAATGCTACATGAAAATCCAGAAGCGTTAGTGTGATGTGCAACTTGCCAACCTCAGAGACCTCTGCTCTGCAGAAACAGGCAGAAACTCATCCGAACCGTAACTTGCTTTTGCCAAGTTTTGTTATTGTTTGCCTGGCAGCTGCCCTGTGTTGGTTAGTTCTACTTTACTGACTGCAGAGCTGCCACCTAAAATTAATGGATTATCTTTTCAAAGTAAGTTTTAGGATTTTATATTCTATAACAACAAACACTTTTTCCCTGACTATAACATTTCTAGAGGGACCAGTAACAAGAAGTTTACAAACATTTACACTTACTAATACATTGTGTAAAACGAAAGCCACAGAAGGACGTAACTGTAGTAGAAATCCTACTCTTTTCAATCCTCAGGGCCTTAAACCTCTACGTAATTTTAGAAGAGCAGCACAGATGAGTAAAAATAATCCACACAAAAATCAGATTGCAGGAGAATAAGGGCCTCCATAATTCTTTTAAGTACTTTCTGGGTAATTTCCGTACCTTGATGAACACACTGTACAACTACGCCACTTGACTATAGCCACAACTTTCCTTTTACAGCGACACTTTCATCATGCATTCACTTGCTCAGCACGTGGAGGCTCAGACATTAATTCACTACAAGACAGGAATTCTTTGTAATGTGAAATAATAGGCCAAGTCTTGATTTTTGCTCAGCTAATGTCTGCACTAAATTTCATATTTTTTTCTTAAATATAGCAGTAGGAATTGGTCAGCTCTGAAGCGCTCTTGCTAATCAGTTTAAAAAAAGAGATTTACTCTTCATATTCCCTCAATTGATAAACAAACCCAAAGACAATTGATAAAAAAAATAAAGACAGAACCAAATAATATCTAGTCAAGTTATTAGGATTTGTATAATGATAAGATTTTTATTAATAACAGTCACTCCTTAAATAGTAGCCACAGACAACATTCACCTGAAAAGTCCTGCATTAAACATAGAAAGTTACATATTGAACATCAACAGACTGCAGAAAGTCATAATCAAAAGAAACATTTGTCAGCATTTAATGAAAAACTAAATTATTTGTACAGAACCTTCAGAAGTGCAGTTTAAAATAAGCACAACTTTATGCTAAATTTCACAAGATTTTTTTTGGGGGGGTAGTTTGCACTGTAAAATGCAATGCTCTGCTGAGGAAGATTCAACTGGCATAATCACAGAGTTTACAAATACTGTTTTAAAATCTGACTTACCAATAAAAGGAACAGAAAAGCAGCTGTTCGGTGAGGGAGCCAATCCATGGCATCTGCCTTCTCGGATACAAGTCCAACTGAGTTATGGTTACAAGCCTGTTCCTTTTCCCCTCCCCCCCCCAACTCTGGTGTCTATTTAAAAAGACACTTGGTAGATGTCCTTATACTCAGCCCTTCAAGGTGTCTCTGCCTCCCTCTGAGGGAAGCACTGAAGATGCTGTATAACAGAGTGTCTTTCCCCACCCCAAAATCCTGGGCTGGTCTCGCCTGAAACGCTTGACAACATCATTATTGCTTGCAGGTAAAAGCTAAGAGACACACCTTAATTCTTATTGCACTGAAACCCTTTGTTGGATACGAACGGGTACATTTTAAAAACAGAAGGCAAGCTTTGCTGGGAAGATACCGAGTGATTTATAAATTGCTCACAACATAAGGAACCATTAAAGTGGTAACTTATCATTGCTTTGAATGCAATTACCAGTTTTCTCCTTGCATGGAGTATAATAGAAGAGCTTAATGAATATTACTGTAAAGAATATGGACTTTAAGAAATGCTTAGTTTGAATTAAAATATAAGTCCATTTGTTTACTTCCAGGCGTGAAGAAGTCAGTTCCATGCACATCGTTCACAGAAGTGCAGCACTCAGAGCAGAATGGCTTGTCATTAAAGAGGTAACATATTAATTTTGGGAAAAAAATAGTGGTTTATTCACTAGGCCACAAGAATATCTGAAGCAGAGGAGGGAGACTTTCTGCTTTCACCAACTGCAAAGCCTCCTTATGCCATACCTTTCCCTTCCTATGGGTTGTGCTCTCGCTGACATGGTGGAGAGGGAGATGTAGCCATGCTCCGTGCCAGAGAAACTGGAGCGCTGCTCAAAACAACAGCAAAGGGAGGATGTGCTGCACAGCTCACTTCTGGCCTCATTTCGGATGGCAAGAGCATAAATATGTGAGGGACGGAGAAATCAAAGAGGATTCCCCACTTTGCTCAGCAATAGGTCCCTCTGTTCTGCAGCAGAGGTGTTATAAGTCTCTCCTTGCATCCTTGGGACACCTGAACCACCCTGTAATTGGCAGAAAAAGATAGAGTGAGCTTCTGCTCTCCCACTGAACCTGGGAGGAGGGTGGGTGCTTCATCCCCGAAAGTGCAATATGACTGGTGTGCTCCTGAGCCTGCCAAGCCCACCACGGTGCTGGCCATGTCCCAGGACTGAACTCAAGCTGGGAAAAAGAGGGCTCAGCACCTCTGGGGTTACTCGGCATCTCCCGGGATGAGGCCCCATGCTCCTGCTGGGTAAGCTATTTCGCATGGGTGCTTTGCTGCCTTGCAGCTAGCTGGGGCTGCCAAAGCCAGTTGTGCATGTCCCTGCTGTCACTCAGCTTTTGGTACTGAGCTCAACATGCCCAGCATTGAGTCAGTGAGGAAAAGTGGGACAGGCAATGTTAAATGGATCACATCTAGATTTTCCCTTTTTTGTGAAACTTTCAACAATCTGAAATTTGCTTTTGGATTAAGTAAAAATAAAAAGTTATTTGTTGTGCATATAAAATATTCATATTCCTTTACGAACCAAAGTATCTTATTTCAGGACTTTCGCTTAATCAAATATTCCAAAAGATATGAATTTTAAAACATTTAACCTTCTAGATTCTTCAAATGTTTGGTTTGGAGGGTTTATTTTTTTACTTTTGTAGAATTTTTAATGTTATTTTTGTATGTTTTTTAATGTTTCATACCATACTGATATCATCATTATTGCAGTAACATAAAATATCCATATTACTAATGCAATAGTCAGTAGTTGAAGCAGGCCAGTATTCTGGCATTTCAGAGTTAGTTCTATACTTTCTATGTAGGGGAAATACATAGAATAAGGGCAAACACGGCTTCGTAGTTCTCAAACTTCTCTACAGACCTTCAGGGAATTGGGAATTGGGACTATTTTTGGAGTATCCTTGAAAGAAGATTGATAAAACTTATTTAGATTATCAAGAAATCACTGCATGTGAAAGCTATATAGGAGCCTTGATAAGAAACCAAGAAAGGCTGAAAGCGTGCATCACTTCAAAACTGCTCCTGGCAGTTCTGAATTTCCATTTTGACGACTGGATAGAAGAAGTTACTTCTTGCAAATATAAAATACATATGTTCTTTTACAGACCAAAATATCTCAATTTTGTTGTGTCAAATTTTTTATCATAACAGAAAATAATTTGATCTACTTAAGATGATAAAATGCCTCAAACAACAATAATAGTCCTAGCAAAAGTGAGAACAGCTGTTACACTATATGTCTCTGTGCCATATCTCATTATGAAGAAGAGTGCACATGGACTTGTCAGAAAAGATAAATAAGAACAATTGTTCAATGGGAAAACTTGTTACGTAATTTCAAATAGGATTTCAAAACAAAAGTTCAAACTTTCAAAAATATAATTTGCACATTAATAATTTAAAAAAATAGTTTAGTCTAAATAAAGATGACCGAAAAAGGTACAGTAGTTTGATCTAGCTTGAAGAAGGAGTCCTAAACCACTGACCATTTCCTTTTGGGAATACTGGAGTTAATAAGACAGAATTAGTGGCATCCACCTAACAGTCATTTTGTGCTTTTCTTTCCTTTACATTTTGTATGAAGATTTTTGTGTTTTTTCTCTTACCCCTGTTAGCACCTTACAGAACAGCAGAGGAAAGGGCCTTGGATCATTGTGTAAACAGAGCTGTATAATTCAAAATATAATTGGCATATAATGCAGTTAATTAAAATTTCACTTTTATTTTCATGGAAAGATTTTCAAACATATTTTAGTGTCTAAAAGTTCAGTCAGTCACTTACTGATATTGCAAAGCCAGCTAAGAGTCCAGTTCCTAGTGACTTCCATTTGCGCGAGGTAACTACGTGTTTGAGTGTTTTAGAAATCATCCTTTTCCTATTGCAGTGGTCTCATTACTTTTAAAACATTGTTCCTGAGTCATTTCTTAAAATGGGGTGTAAGCTTTTAAGCCTTCTGCTTCATCAGTATTTGATGCAGCCTACTCTCACACAAATATATATATACATATATATGTATATACACTTCAGTCAACTTTCCGAGCATCTCACAGGAAAATGTTTGGTCCTGCACCTCTCCTGGCACAGTCCCCAGTATGACTTACACCTGCCCCTGTCCTGGAGCTCAGAGGGGGGGCTTTTGCCCCAGGTCAGCAATGAGCAAGTCCCTCAGTCGAGGGTCAGTTGCTGTCCTCACTGGGTCGGTGCCCACTCAGTGCCTTTCTGAATTTCAAAATAAATAAATCTGCTCCACACTCAGAAAGGCTGCTTTACTTCCTGCCTATAAATATAATTTATTTTCATACTTAAAGAGATTGGAGAGACATTCTTTTTTAACATTTCCCATGGTGCACAATATGCAAGAGCAAAAAAGAGCTTCAGGGGAAGCTCTTCAGGGGAAGAAGAAAAAAAAGAACAGGAAATAACAAAGAATGACATGATGAAGTAATAATAAATACCTTCATTACAGAAAAGCTAGGGATATTTGTGTATTCTCATAAAATTTTGGTACTCTTCAAATTTTGGTATTCTGAGAACAATTTAGGTAATGTGCTCAGGTAACCCTTCTATAAAGTGGCCAGGTCTCACGGACACAAAGGTTGATTTTTTTCTCAGAACCTGTAAGATGTCCAGTGAGAGGGACACACGCAGAAAAGTTGGTGGTGTAAGATACATATAAATGCAGTAATAACAATAATACAGTGCTGCTCTGTGCATTTAATGTCAACGGAAACTTTCTTAATGTTTAGATGGCTAAGTACAACTTTTGTGTCTCATCTAGATGGCAAAACGTGATAAAATTTTTCACTTGATAAAATTTCTGGCAATACTGTGATTATTAATTGCAACTCTAAATTGGTGCTCTTCATTGAACAAAACTGACCAACATACTATCTGTCATTTGCAAAATGCATGAAAATGGAATCAATACGATCTGAAGTTATCCACAAGCCTGTTCTTGCTACAGACGGGTTGAAGAATCAGTATCATCCTACAGTGTGATATGACTACAAAAGGAAAGGCTGTATGATTTTTTTGGCTTGTTTGTGTCACAGGTGAAGGAGGCGGTAGTCACTGATGATGAAGAGATAACTGAATTGCAGATAAGAAATTCCAACTGGCATAAATCCATCTCCAGCACTTGCTTCAGTGTGGGGGCTGGCGAAAAGCCTTGCTCAAGGAGAGGTAATCACCGGCTCCCAAGACCCCCTCCCTTCAGGAAGAGCGATGAGGTTACCACGTGGGAATGCTAAAGGGCTCAGGGAAATGGGGTGTCAGACCGGGTACCTCAATCAGATGTATGTTGTAGGTATTTTCATACATGGCTAACATTAATGTTCCTGTAGGCTAGAGCTCACAACCTTAACTCAAGAGTTGTACTATAAGGGGAAAACACATGAAAGAAACTAAATATGCCTTTAAAAGTAAGCATAGTACAATCTGGGATGATAAACCCAGAACTGACATGCATAAATTCATCATGATTGTATCAGACCGTTACAGAGCACGCTAACATGGATGTCTTAACTGAATTTTTAAATTAAAAGATTTATCACTTTTAATTTATTCCCTTTAGTTCTTCAGTTTCATAATATTGATCACATCTTGTAAAGTTTCTCTTTTTTATTAATATTTATTTTTCTGTTTAACTTTTTCTTTGCTTTGCTTCACTTCAGCCTGTTTTTTAGGGGGAGTTTCATTATGATTTTTTGTTTGGTTTTTCTAGAAGTTTATATTAAATATTTTCCCAGTTTTTCTTTCTTAACTAAGCATAGGTATTTATACAATTTTATATTACCCACAACTGTAAAGAACATGCATATGCTCACTTGTGTGAGAGGCTGCATATAATTTTCAGATTTTCTAAATGGCTTAAACCCTGTGCTTTTTAAAGATACTAAACATCCAGAGCAGATGATGGCAGGGAGGAAGAGCTCCGTGTGCCAAGCAGTTTTTCTTTCTTAACTAAGCATAGGTATTTATACAATT